TGAAGTGCTTAAAGCTTAAAGCTTACAGGCCCAGCGTCATAAAAGAGTTGCAGCCTCTGACTTGGGAGGAATTCACAGGAACTGTTGTGGTTGAATTCTTTTAAACTAAATGTGTAGATCAAACAGAAAACTGAACAAAACTCTCTTGATCGATTGTCTAAATGTAGTCGGTCTCACAAGGCCGACACAAGACAACACATGATTCACTTTAACATCATTATGATTACAGATGTATTCAAGGTGATTATCTAAAGACACTTGCAGGAAAACATCTGTCGCTGCTACCTTGAGTGTTGATGTGGTAGCGGACGTCCTTGTAGCCCGGCGTGGGGAAGCTGCAGTGGTAAACGCGACATGAGTACACGGCCTTCTCGTCCTCTCTGGCCAGGACCAGATGGATTTTACTCCACACGCTGAAGAGGCAGCTGCTGCGGTCGGAGAAAGGCCCAAAGTGGGTCACCATGCGGACCTCCTCTCCATCGTTCCTGGACCACTCCAGGTAGACGTCCTGGGGGTAGAAGTTCTCCACCCGGCAGCAGAGAACCAGCAGCCTCTCCACCTCTGGGATCTGAGGGATGCTGGAGATCTGGAGGAAAGACGGCTCCACTGGAGGAGAATGAAGGGAGGAGAGACAAACGAGGTCATTTACAGGAGATGAAAATACAAAGCAGATTCCTACATATGTCTTTCCAGATAGTCGGCCACACACATGTAAAGTTCTGTGGTTGTGTCTTGCACAGTTGTGATGCTATTATTGGCCCAAGAGCTCAGCAGCCACTTCACAGTTTACACCAGCTATCAGATCATTACTGGTGATGCATTGTTGTGTTTTTTTTTAGCAAGATTTAGGAAGGAAGCAGCATAATGTGACCTCAGCTGGCCTCTCAGGAGTCGGTGGAAACCCAACCTAAGATAAAGGGGGAAGCCATATTGGATTTACACTGATCAGCGATAACAACATTAAAATGTGACTGAATGACAGAAACCAAATTAAAACATGGAGGTTAGTAGCACGACTCATGTCCTCCCTTTGTTTGACAATATCTAATAACCAGCCATGAAAACAGTCGTCTTCTGCAGCTCTAACAAAAAGATAAATCAGACAAATAAGCACCATTCATGCTCTAGTCAAGACTGAATGAGCAGGACAGAGTAAAGCAGCCAACAGAGGACGCAGTGTTCAGCAGAGGCCACAGCAGTGACCCATGATGATCACAATCAACTGATGGGGAGATGAGATTAAAGCGCATTGGGTCACCAAAAACATTATTCTAATGTGCTTTTAATGGAATTTAAGGAAATGTGGCCGATACCTTTCCAGTCTAAGAGAGGGCTCGGGCTGATCTTGGCACCAGATAAAATCACTAAACTTATTAAGGATCACTCTTCAGGAACGTCCATAATGCATCTACTGGCTACCAGCCAGTCTGACTCTGACCTTTTTAAGTTCTTTCAGAATTTCTAATGTGGTCTTAATCCTGTGAGATCTTCTGTTGCAATATTACCTTATCGCTATCTCCCCCAAAAAGTAAATATATAAATGTTTGTTAGACATATTCATGGTCAGTGGCTCCAGTTGTTCAACCTCAACATGTCGGTGGATAGTGAACACGTCTATGGGTCTTTTTTTTTTATTTACTGGCCAGAATCTAATTGGTGAGATGCATTAAATATTTTTTGGGAAGTTGTTAGAACAGGTACATGTTTAATTATTCTGGAAACAAATTTCATATTGTAATTTCTTATGTGCAGTTCTGAAACCCTGAATGAGCTGGTTAGTCAACATAGCTTTGGAACCTTAAACATTACACATTACACTGTTCATGCTGACAAGTGGAACAGAACCACTAATAGGAATATAGTGTCTTTGAGGATTCGCTAGAACTACATTTTAAACTAGTTTTTTTCTGCTAACATTTTAGGTTAAAACCAGAGATGAAAAAATAATAAATTACTCTGGCAGCAGTATTTGGAACTCTATCTGTAGTAGTATTTCAAAGTCTGTATTTTACCCTTTTTTTTTATTATTTTTGAATGCACTGAGATGTTTTGGGAAACCTTCAAATGTGGCAGTTAGTGTTGGCTAGAAAATATTAATAATTCAGAAAATGCAAGAGAAAGCACATAACCAACTTCCCTAAAAACTTCCTAAAACAAAAACAACAACAAAAACGTGGTCTTGTTTCTCTTTCCAGAGTTAAAGCCACAGCTACAGACCTGTAACCTTGACCGCCGTGTCCCTGCTGAAGCTCCTGCCTCTGCACTGCACCACACACCTGTACCTGCTCAGGTCTTCAGTCACCGTCAGACAGACGGGCAGGACAGACGTGTGATGTTTCCCGTCTGACTGCAGAGAAGCCTGCTCGCTCAGATCCTCGCCGACCAGCAGGGAACCCGTCGTCTCCGGTTCGACCGCTGAGTCTGAACCGGTTACTAGTTTGAACCATTTCACTTTGAGCTCCCGCTGGGTGGCTCCACGGACGGTGCACTCCAGGTTGGTTGTCACCTGAGCGTATATGATGCTGGGTTGGCTGATTTCAGAAACACTGGGTGGAGCTGCAGAGAGAGTCAGGAAGTCATGATGATGCAGCTATAGCAGCAACAGTTCTGCATTTTCTCCTCATTGACTGCACAACCTGCACATCATACGGGTGTACATGTTGCATGAATTTCATTTTCAAAGTTGATGACACGCCACAGAAACTGCTCAGGACAGATCTGTTGTGTTGCAGTAACTTCAGGTTGAGGTTGTTCTTTAGAAAACCTCTGTGGTGGTAGGAAGGTTGTGTATTTCTAAATTCTAGGGGTTTTTTTTTGTTCATTTGTTTGTTTTTTGGCCTTTTCAGATTCATGCCTGCTGCACTTTGAAGCACCAAAGGAGTTATTATTGTGAGTCTTAGATATTTACCAGCACACCTGAAGTTACTGCAGGAAAATGTTTCCTTGAATATGAATGCAAACTGCTTATGCTGGATTGGACTAAGTGGACTTGTCTCACAAATAAATATGTTGTACTGTTCTGTGCAGACAGGAGGCCTGTAAAGACTTAGTTAGTTTCTCAGTTAAAACAGACTTAAACTTAATTTCCTCTGCACCTTCCAGCTGTTGACTGGCTTTCAAAGTTGCTCTAATTATTATTTTTATAACTAACAAGAGTTAAATAGGATGCACAGGTTTCTCTTTAGCCTTGCAGAGCATTTAAGCCTCAAGATTTCTGGAGCTGCCACCACCATGCTTCACCATGATGCTGCCACCACCATGCTTCACATCATGATGCTTGTTCATGTTCAGACGTACCTCTGCAGACATACCTTGCCCCTCCAACAACAGAGGTGACCAGCACTAAACTGATGACACTGGTGGCAGCTATGAGTGTTGCAGCGCTGTAAAGAGGCTGTACAGGAGCTGCAGGGACAAAGTAGTTGAAGAGGTCCGTGGTAAATGTAATATTCACTTTGTGTAAAGACGTAATTCAGGGTTTAATGTGGAAAAAAGAGATAATTAAACCTTCAACAGTCAGTGTAACAGACTGGTTGTACGGATGCTGGTAGGTCTGGTGCTCCACCTGGCAGATGAGTCGGGCCTCTTTATTTTGTACTGCTGAGGAGTGCAGCGTGATGCCGCTACGAATGCTGTAGGTGCCGTCCGGATTGTGGACGGCCAACTCGGTGCAGACGCGGAAGCGCTGGTTCCGACCCGCGTGGACCGTGTGGGAGCCATTCTGGATGAGCCAAGTCACGGCTAGTTTCTCCGGATAGAAACGTGCGATGTCACACTGCAGGGTTTTCTCCTCTCCTTCTGTGACCACTGCCCTGGCTGGGAGCGACACCGAAGGCCGAGCTGCAGGGGAGAGGTTCAGATGTTTCATTATGGAGGTTTTTCATGGTCATTTCTGTAAACTCAGTCAGTGGCACCACATCCAGCCAGCTTTGGAGCATTTATCAGCTGAAGAGGAGATATTTCCAGATATTTAGGAGTTGCATTTGTTAAGTGGACAGAAACAACTTTACCTCAGTGTTAACTCTTACAGGTGATATGTCAGTATTCTGTTGTAAGCCTGTTTTGCTGCTTCCTGTTACCTCTAGTTTTTATCCAGCATATTGGTATTCTAAAAAAAGAATTATTATATCAGCATTTGTTAGATTTAACAATGTTTCAGACATATTATCATCTTTGTAAAATCACATTAATTTGAGTGACTAATTAAGAACAAAATGACTGAATTATAGAGAAGTGTTGCATTATTAGAAGCATTTCAGAGTGAAACAATTTTGAAAACAGACAGTCTTGTTATTGGAGACACCAGCATGATAGAGGGCCTAAAACATTTCTGCATAACATTGTCAGTCTTAAGGATTTCCAAAATTTGTTGCCTAAACAAAATGCATCTTGGCTGTTTTGGCTGGAGAAAATTCGTCTTAACCTCTGACTATGTTTCTGGATTTCATGTCTAATCGGTGCCTTCTGTAAAATCACTTCTTAAAACCAATTTTTGTTGGCTTACCTTTATGTGACGCTGTCTATTTATAATGTGTAATTGATCTTTCTTAATTTTCTTTATTTTATTTTGTCAATTTTTTCTTTTGCCTGTTATATATTTACTCATTTAGATATTTATTCTATGTATTTACTATTATAATTATTATTTTACGCTCCATTTTCTTTAATTTCACTTGATCTTTCTCCTGACTTGTATATGGCATTTTTAGTTATTTTTTTAATTTTTCCAGGTATTATTGTATTAATTTATTTTGTACATCTCTTACCATGTTTAACCCTATTTCTCTGCTTTTTCCTCTCTGGTTTTTCTTTTTGCTCTGCACTTTGTAATCTCTCTTTTTATAAGGTGCTATATAAATAAAGTTACCGTTATTATTCCATGTTTAGTTAGTTTCTAAACAGTATGTGACACAGATTCAGGTGGTAATGGAGAGGGCTTTACCCAGCACTTCCAGAGCAGCGGTCTGCGTGTGGACCACAGGTGTGATGATCCTGCAGGTGTAAAGTCCTTCGTCTCTTACAGTCACATTAAAAAGCTGCAGAGACGCATCGCTGTGACGCAGACGTGTCTCGTCCACCGCCGAGCCTTCTCTGTTCACACGAGCTCTCCCGTCCTCGAACGTGTACACGATGCTCTTCCCTCCACGTTTGTTGACGACGTTCCACTCAACCGTGAGGCCGTCTAACTGCACCGGCCTCAGCTGTGTGTCAAACACACAGCTGAGAGTCACCTGTGAGCCCAGCAACACACTGAGCTCTCTGGTGGTGTCACTGGAAGAACCTGGAAACACAAGAGAGAGAAGACAAGTTTGCAAGAAGCAGGACAACAATCTGTGCAGAGGACAGAGGCAGTGATGTGACCTTTCCTTTATGGGTTCATACTAGAGCGCAGTAAAACAGAGACACTCACCTCTACAGTGCAAAGCCATGAAAATGATGATAAAAATCATCATTTTCATTTTCCGCTGATGATCCATTGAGATCCATGAAAGCTGAAGTGTGTTCACGAGGTTCAGATTTCCTGGACTGAAGATCACGCGGTGGTTTGTGTTATGATCATGAGCCGTTGGGGCTGGGCTCTGGTAAACATTCACCTGGTAATCGTGCTGTTGTGTTCTAATTCACCTCCTCCTGGACTCTGACCAGCCTCCTGCACACCACCGCGGTCCTCTGAAGTGTTCGTAGATGAAGCACATTCTGGAGATTTGCTCTATTTATCAGTCTGTGGACGAAGGCACTGGATGCAAACAGCTGCACAAACTGGACTATTTGCATTTTGATTCACACTGATATTGTGTTTCGTAGCCTGAGCTGATTGAAGACCAGTCTATCACAGGGCTACACTTAGAGACAGACAACCAAGCACACTCACATTCACACCTACGGACAATTTACAATCACCAATTAACCTCAGCATGTTTCTGGACTGTGGGAGGAAGCCGGAGAACCCGGAGAGAACCCACGCTGCACAGGGAGAACATGGAGACTCCACGCAGGAAGATCCCGGGTGTCCTCACCGGGACGCCGACCACGGACCTTCTAGCTGCGAGACAACGATGCTAACCACTGAGACACCTTGCCGCTCCAAGAGAGAAATCCCAACTAATGAATCTGCAGCTTTGATAAACATCCTGGAGAAGCTGATTCGCCGCCACAACACCAACAAAAGAACAGACTGAATAAAGCAGTTAGCAGAATGTTTCCTTTCAAACTGAAAACAAACTTCTACAAAGACTCAATTAAAAACCTTTTGTGTTTGTTTGTCTTTGGAAAGAAGCTATTTGCCATCTTAGACGCTGGTTACAGGCCGTTTTGTGCAACTTCCTGTTTTCCTGAATGTCTTTCATTGAGGCGCAAAATGCAAAGTTCATGTGATCCTTAGGTCCACATAAATAAACTGCAGTTATCCTTTCACTAGTAAATGATAAATGCCATCTGAAACATTAACAAGACTGTGACGGCTACAGCATGAAGGATTATAACTACAGCAATGTTAAAGGTTGTCACACACAACATCTGTGTTCTCATTCGGCCCAACAAATTAAAGAACAAATTTAAATCTGCACTGCAACACATCGCAAAACTAAAAAAAGAGCAAAAACAGAAAGTAGTGGCTATCTGAAAATACTAACTTAAAACTAAACTCAAACATGGAGGTATGAAAGGTCCACGTAAAGTATACATGAAAAAAACAACTAAAATAAGCTTTAATGGGTTTTAGCCTGAAATCCGTAGTTTGTTTGTTTTTTACCTTTTTTTTCCGAGAACTTTGACTTTGTTTCAGGAGTTCCACTTTTTTCCAAAATGTTTTATAGTATACGATAACTTTTGGCTTTTATTGGCCCAAAAATGATGGTACATGTGACAGCTCTGTAGATATCAGCACAGAAATTATCCCCAAATGAAGCATCATTCATTGGTATAAAACTTTATTTACTTTATGATCTTACTTTACATACACAGTCTTCATCATGTCACTGTGTTCTCACAAACTGAAGCACCAGAAGCTTGTCCTTGTGCACAACATGCACCATCATCCCACCATGGACCTCTTCCTCCCTCTCAACCGAACCTCATCGAGCTTCTTGATGACAGCCGACGACTTCTTGGACGATGCGGCGTAGCTCTTCAGCAGCTTCTCGAACAGCGCCTCGGTGTTGGGGTGGGTGCTGAGGAAAGCCTTCTCCAGCACGTACAGGTCCACCCCCTTGTCTTCCGGCAGAGCCGAGATGTAGCTCAGGCCAAAGTCGATGAGGACCAGCTCGGGCTCTCCGTCCTTCTGGCTGTGTCTGAGCAGCATGTTGGAGGTGGTCAGGTCTCCGTGTATGACGTCCTCATCGTGCATTCTGGCCAGGATCTGACCCACACGCTCGGCCAGCTGCTGCAGCTTCTGCTCTGTACCGGAGTCAGACTGCTGAGCGGACGCAATGTGGTCACGCACCGTCGAGGAACCAATGATTTCCTCCAAGAAAATACAGTGAGAGGTGTAGTCCACGAAGTAGACAACAGGTGCACAGATGCCTGAGGAGAAGACAGAATCTGATTTGACTGAATGTGAGGGCTGCAAACATTTGATCTATCATTAAAACAAAGAGCAGTATGAAAGCACAAGGCTGCTGATTCTCTTAGTGGTGGTGGTGTCTCCTGAGTTCCCTACGCTGTCTGACACTAAAATAATTAACACGTATGACCAGCATATAGCTTCTAAAAAAGCACGCACTTTCCTACAGTGCTGCAGTTTTTAAACCAGCATTTATAAAATAGAAGGAAGCAGTACAGACGTGTTTCAGTGGGGATTTAACTCACATTTAGTGCTCTACTGAGTGTTTGTCGCAGCAGCATAATGCATGTGGGACTGAATACTGCAGTGGTTGTGTTCACGGTAATGAAGCAACAGTGCAGCTCACTGGTTAGGTTCGGCTTTACCACAGTGTTAACAAACAAAACAACACAGGTTAGCTAAGAAAGTACAACAATGGGGAGCGTGCAAAACAGAAACACTCGAATAAAATGAAGACTGATTTAAAAGAGGTAAAGATATAAAACGTAATGGATAACAGGAGAGAAGAGCTGGATTTCATGAAGACGGATCAGATGAGAAAGACCTGCTGTCCACATTATTGGAGGCTACTACTCGTCTGTAGCGCCACCCTGAGGGGAAAACCTCAAAGTGCAAGTTCTTCTTTCATTATATTCAATTCATATTTCTCACTTGGTTGCATCTGCAGTTACATCTA